TGGAGCAAATGGCTCGGGGTGAAATATTTACCAAACAAAAGCAGTTCGGGAGCTGTGATGCCGAAGGGGAGGGAGGGAATAATCGCAGCGTGGATTGGAGCATTTATTTTATGTTACCCCTGGGAGCTGCAGGCCACTCTGCAGCTCCGTGTCGTGCCACGGGTTTTAAGCTCTGCTTAGAGAACAACCTGCACGGGGAGTTTCTGCTCTGTCTGATCCAGATTTGCCTCCTGGGCCGACCTTTTCCCTCCCTTCCCTACCTTTGCTGCACTATTTCCATGTCTCATGGTCACGTAACTGTATTCACATTTACGTGGGCAAGAGGTGCATTGGACTAAGTCAGGCTTTTGTCTTTTCTCTCCTATTGCCTTTTTTTTTCCCCGCAACTTGAATATATGCATCTGCTTTTTTGTTTCCCATTAAGTTCCATGATTTTCCCATGCTTTCCTTGAGACGTGATTCTTCTGATCAAAATAGCACGTTTTTTGCTGTGAGGTGACATCCAGGACTCAAGGTTATTGATGGATATATTACACAACAGCAATGAGATTACACAGGGGATTTAAAAAAAAAAAAAATCAAGGATAACATTTACTCTTTTTGGGCGTCATGATTTTGGTTTTGGGGGGATTTTTTGGCCAGTTTTCAGGTTCTTCTYATGCTGAGGCTGGTAGGAAAGGTGCAGAAAGGCCCTGTTGGCAGTTGGCCCCAGTGTTGCCTAACACCTAGATGGAAGGTAGTGCACACCCAGATGAACAGGGGCTGCTTGGAGACGGTGGTTTGCCCTTTATTGCAGGTTGTGCCTGCAGAGGAACCCATTTCGGGTGGTGGAGCAACGTGGTGGCCCTTGGCCGGGGTGCTCGGGCAGGTCAGGAAACGCTGTGGAGAGAGGAGATGTTTGATGGCTTTGTCCTTGCAAAAGCAGAGGTGGGAAAAGGCCAGGGAAGGGCTGGATCCGTCCAGCGAGGGCAGTGCAGAGGTTTGAGGGCATGGGGTCCAATCGAAAATGCAGAAATGCAGGCAAAAGGCAGGCAATTACACACTGTAGCTACACACCCATATACATACATATATATGATATATATCCAAGTTCACTGTCTCCGGTAGCTGATGGAGCTGGTGCAGGGGGTCAGACGTTCAGGGCACACGTCCACYAATAATACACTCCTGTTGTGCCCTGGTAAAAGAGCTGCGTGCTTGCTTTTTCCCCATTTGTGTGAAACAACATAGGAATTTATATATTTTTTTTAAATCATCGTCAGGCTTTGTATGTTCACACACATAAATTCGGACTCCACGCAGCCACGCGTGGCAGCGTTTTTTGAGAACGAGAGCGATTTAAAGCTCGATTGCCCCAAAATAGCTCTTGAACTGAACTCTGAAGCCTATTAGATTAGGCCCTTTATAATAAATCCTGGTGCGGTGTCTATTAGATCAGCTCTGCTGTAATTTTTTCCTSTTTACCAGGGCTCCTATGGGCATAGCTGCTTTGCTGCAACTCTTGCAGCGTGCTGGGGGAAGAAATGCTGCGTTCTCCTTGCCTGTACGTGGTGGGCCAGCTAAACTGCTGCAGGGATGCTCAGAACAAGCTGCAGAAATCCAGCAATATCCATATGTTCCTAATGCTCCGGATGGATGGGTGCTAAAGGGTACAAGAGGTCCTGGGAGGTTGATTAAATAGAGGTCCTGGGTAGGAAAATTGAGGTAAGATTGGAGGCAATAGGTGCTTTCCGGCTGTGGATGGA